GGTCTGCCTTAGCAAAAGGCATTTCGCAATGCATCAATTGGAAAAAATCAATGTTTAGTTAAATCCAATGGAACCCAATTATATGTTCTTTCTTCCTTTTGCTATTCATTAATCATTTCCTCTGTTGTTCCAAAAAATGCTCCAAGATTAGATTTGAACTTTTAAGTTGTCATTATGTTTCTCATCCATAATGGGAATCAAACTGATTACTGACTTCTAACAGTTGGTTATCCACACAAGATTATATCTGGACTGGAGAAATTTAGGGCTTTGAAGGCTTGGACATGGCACAATGGACAGTATGGCCCATTTTAGCCCAGCTTAGTTTAGAATTTTATCCATGTTTGATTTTGCTAGCTCCACATCTCAAAAGTCCTTCAACGGCACTAGTATCAAATGAAAAGCAGTGATTTAACACTAATAACTTACATTTATATAAAATTGTTAACATAATAAAACATCAAAGGTGCTTCACAGGAGAAGAATCCAACAATATTTGATGCTGAGACATGTAGTCACATTAGCACAAGTGACCAAGGACTTCATCAAGCCAAAAGGTTTTAAGGCGCAACTTAAATGAGAGAAAACTGGAGGCAGAAAGGATTCTGGAATTTAAACATGATGCAGCTGCCAACAGTGCAGCAGTGGAAATTAGGGAGCACAAGATGCCAGACTTAGATGAACATCGAGACCTTGAAAAGGCTGGAAGACTTTAAATGAGATTATCAGCATGGGATCAATGGTACCTACTGGTTACTGTGGGAAAATAAGCACAGGCATTCTCTGGTGTCAGTCCAAGTTGCTAGTTATGCTATAAATATCAGTTGTAAAACAACAAGCAAGGGTTAAGTTTCTGCAAATCTTGGAGCTGGAGGTATGAAATCCAATTCATCGCCTTACTCAAACATGAATTTGGTATGTTGTGTAGATTAATGAAAAGCTAAAAGTATAACAATCCCAAACAATAAAATAAATGGTGCCCATCTGTCTATTATGTTATATCTTTATTACAGTAACAGCTCAGTTACCAATGCTGTGAGCATGAGCTATATCCCTACTATTGGCTCTCGAGCCATATTCTTTGAATACTTTCAGAAAGTGTGACAGAAATACAAGAATCATTTGTATCAAACTATAGATGAAGATTTAATTCATACTTCTACCAACATGTCTGGGTTCTTGTGATGGTTATAAACCGCTCAAATTTTCTATAGCGAATTGCAAGTTCACCAAAATTGCACAACGTGCTATTGCCCCAAAATATTGTCCCAGGTATTGTCATCCTATTTAAAATAAACATAATAGAGTGGATCTGCCATATCTAATCTACTGGTCTCCAATACAAGTCTAAATCAAAATTGTTTAAAATATCATGTTTTAACTCCAATCCAGCAATGCTACTCCAATTACTATCTATTTTAAACAGAAATGTATGAATTAATTTAATCCTTCTACAAAGCAGTAAGAAAGATTTATCCAATTACATTTTTAAACAAAGCAGAGTCTTTCACTATTTCATTAATTATATTCATGAGCAATTTATTTTACAAGCATTCTAAAATACTCATTTAGTTTCATTTTGCTTGTTTGGGAATTGCATAGAATAAAAGTATTAGGAGTGGAGCTATTTGAATTCACACAAGAGAGTGATTAGGAAGCGAAATTTATGTTGGATCAGGATTGTACATGGATTCAAATATGAGAATGCATTTTTACTTATTATAAATGTTGGAGTTGGGCACTTAGCATTTAAGTGGTAAGACGTGACAATCCTGATAATTGGAATATCAACTACATTGTCCTAAATCCATCAAATGGCACTGCATTGTTTTACTTGTAGTGGGACATTGAATAAAAAATATAAAGTAAATTATGATTATCTCAAGGATAATTTTAATCAGGAAGTAAGATTATCATAAAAATAATTTAGTTGTGAAACATTAATTTTAAACTAGGATTTTCCGAAACGATTCGTTGCTAATGATGAATGTATTTAAAACATTTTTCTTGCTGTTATGATGTAAATGCATATGAAAAAGCAAAGGATTTAGCACGGTGTTCTATATTCCATATGTTCTAATTGCATTATCCTATTTTACCAATTGCACATTATATGGAGAGGCCACTGAAACATTCATTTGAAATGAAGGGTGTTTATGTGATGGACGTTCTGAAGAGCTTAGTGCTTTTAGTTCAACACAAATTACAGCTCTTGGCATTTGCTTTTAAAGGGGTAGTGACCTTAACATTTAGGCAGAGGAAAAATATCTTCATTGATAACAGGACTAGTGTTATTCCTTAGGGTGATTATTTAGAAAGATTAGAAGATTTGTTTTTGAAGGACATTATTTTTGAATAGAAATTATACATGTGATTTTATGGGTCTATTCCCAGATAGGGGTAACCTCAACATTTGGGTCGATGAGGAGCCAAGATTATTCATTGTAGAGGGTGACCTTTTATGGGAGTTGAATGTTAAGCGTGTGAACTAGTTTGTTTCCAAATTGAAGCTGTTATCCATTGTTTAGTTCATGGTGAATTTGAGATTAGAGCCAAGCAGGTCAATTTAAGATTGGAACTGACTTTCTGATTGATAGGGGCAAGCTTGATCGAAGCTTTTGTTTCTTTTTTTTTTACTTTGAGTTGCTGTTCCTATCCCTTTTTAGACAACTGTTATAGACTGAGAAGTTATATTTCTGAAAATTGGATTCCTCATGGAAGCTATTAGATTGGATTTTGATGTAGAAATGTAAGTGATCTTAACAGCATTTACCATAATTTATACACAAAAAGTATATTCGCTGTGATTTGTAATTGCTGACATGTGGAAGTTGCTGTCAGTGTTGTCCAACTTCTTCATAAGCTTCCCAATTTTACCATTTTGCCAACTGACACAGCACTTACACAAATTGTGCAGCATTACATTCTTATCCTCACCTCATAGATATCTATAAACTTCAAAAATTGTTAGGGTATTTCCTTTTCAATATAAATATCTTAGAATTGGTGTGATAAATATTCATTGCTGTCAAACAGTTTCATTGGTGATTAAATTAAGTTTTACAAGTGCAGAGTCTCATTCCTTCATCTTTTAATAATAGTTGGAAATCTCTAGACAAATTGAAATAATTTATTTTCATGGATACATCATGTAAGGAGGCTGTTGGGCCCTTTGTTCCCATGCTTGCTAGACTTATCCCATTAATCCCTCTGTCCTACCTGCCCCCATAACCCTGTAAATTCTTTCCCATCAAGACTTTAGTTGAAGTTATTCCATGACTGTTCCAGGCAGTGCAATCCAGAAGACAACAAACTGCTGTGCAAATATAGTTTCCTTGTGTCATCTCCAGTAATTTGCAATAAGATATGAGCGTATTCCCTTTGGTATTAGATACGAATATAACAAGTACAGGATTTGTTCTAGATGGGTGTTTAATCATACATAAAATAGTCTGTATGTAAGTTTAATAAATCAATGGTAACATATCTACAGAATGCTGTAAGTATGCTTGTGTAAGCTGGGAGTGCTCTTAGCCAGTTTGCTTTGATATGGTCTCATCATAGACTGTTTAATATGGACCAGTTCATTAAAAAAACTGGAATTCTCTGAATTACATTAGGAACTGAGAGACCGGGAGGCGTTTGTGGTAAGGTTAGAGTGTTTTTGGATTTTGAGATTGTTTCTGTTTGATTCCTAACTGTAGTTAATATACATTGTGGTTTGATTGCTGACAATTGAGTTCGGCTGGAGTGTACAGTATTTGCTTTTCTTTTGACTGTAAAGTGAGTCTTAGCATCCATTCCTTGCTTTAATGATGGATTTGGGGTGTCTTGGTGTTTAGGGAATTTTGAAATAGGTGGACTGATTACTCATTGTTGGATCCACGATGTTCAGTTTGCTTCACTGATTGGACCTAAGTGAATTACTTATGAGATGGTTCTGACCTGGACTAAGGGTGATCCTAAGGTTGCTGTGGACTATTACAGTAAAGAGTTCATTCAAAATTTTAGTTTTTACTTTCTGTCTAATCCATTCACCTGAGGTTTGTTTGCACTACCTGATGGATCCAGTGTAGTGATCATTTCCAGGAAATGAGATTCTCCATTAATTATACTTGTTTGGATCTGAATGTTACACTTTAATCCCCCTGTTTCAAATTCGGGGGAAAACAACATTGTTAGTTAGTTGCCAAAGTTAAAAGCAATTTTCCTGGTGGCTTGGTTGCTGGGAATTTTGAAGGGGAAGCTTGGTCATAGATATTGTACATTATCCCAACATTATGAGAGGCAAGCTTATGTAAAGCTGATATAGGGTGAAAATAACTCAAATTACATTAAACTCAATATATGATGGATCCAGGGGGAGTTTTAAGTTACAAACTAGTTTTGAATTAACTTACAAAGTAAGAATAAAGGGGAAGCCTTGTCAACATGACATGCAGGTGATTCAAACAGAATACAACTTCCATTGTAAATCAAATGAATCTTAACTAATAAAAGTGTACAGGTTTCATTCTCCTTATGGTAAACACCAAATATCAGAGATCAGACCAAATAACTATTGCTGCTATTTATAAAGCAGACCACCAAGACAAGCACCTTTTCACTATGGTTAAAAGATCTGCTTTGACTTGGGAAGGGTGTGTCTAATATTTTATCAGTGAGAAGAGCATGAGAAAGAGCGGTACTGGCATCTCAAGAGACAAACGCGCTTTCTGATCGATCAGAAGAACCTTGTATTTTCCCGTAAGGTTCAAAGTTGTAGGAAACTTCCACTTGGCTCTCAGCTCGATTTCGGGCGCTTAACAAGATAACGGCAGCCGCTTACCAATCTCAGGCGTGTTACTGTAATACTTCCAAAAGGAAGCATCATCTGAGTGACGAACCTGACTGGAGACACCGTGCGCTGCTCCAAGCTGCACACTGACCGAGCGAAGCGCGGATAACTAGCGGGCATTGAAGACAACCTGACGGGCAAGGTAAATAGAGTCAGCACTTACTTGAAATCCTCTGCCGCCTTCATATCTGCTATCGTAAGAACTCTTGAAGTACGGTTACAATCCTTGGGAGGATTTGTCCAGGACTTGTGGGAGCTGGGATCGTTGCTCTACCTGCCAGTACGTCTGCTGGCTGGGAGTTATGGGCAAATTATTTGAGCGTCTGTCGAACCTCTTTTGGAACATTTTCTGAGTTGCTTTTAGGGAACGACACCTCTCGCCCCAGCCCAGCCCTCCCCACCCTACTTGGTCGCCGCCCTTTAAGTGGGGTAGGGAATAGAGTTCCCTGCTCCCATTCAGCCGTGTTGGAAAAGCCGATGGAGACTGAGTAGGATGTGGTGCTGCCCCGTTAAAGCACCGACTCTTTCTTCAGTCCAGAGAAATAGCGGCAAGCCAATAGCGGTGATGTAATGCAAATACAGCCAATCATCACAGAGTCTCCCCATCCCCATGTTAGAATATACATTAATCCCCCACCAAGCACAGAGGCTATTTAACAATGAGGATTGTCAAAGTGGAGCCGTTCGGGACCATTAAATTATCCAGGCTCAAGGATTTGCGGGGTTCTTAATAATGGGCTGCCAACTTGCTTTTATTTCTTCTCTGCACCCTTCACAAATTTGAAGTCCGAGTATCTTTTTTTCTGGGGGGGAGGAGGGGGGTCGTGCGGGGAATGGAAGTGCTGGCTGACATCACAGACAGAAGGAAGGTGAAGTCAGGGGATGATAGAGCAGTGAAAGTTAGCACATATCCAGGTGACATGCCCACTGCATTCAAATGTCCAAAGCTCATAAAACGGAATAGAGATGAAGCCATGTGCGGTTTTATATGCGAATGCAATTGAGGAGCGGGTGTTTCCGTCGTAGAAAGTGGTTCGACTTCGAGAAGAAAACGCTTTACTTCGTGAAGCTCTTTCTTACTTCACAGCCTCACTACCTCCGGGTGCATGCTGTGGATAACCCCGGCTCCGAGTCACCTGGGAGAGGGGGTGGGGGAGGGGGTGGGTGGGAACTGTTGCCCTGAAATTACCCATGGGCACAGATCGGCCGAGGCAGCCAAGAATTTTGGCACTGGCTAGTCACACCTGATTTCTTGTCACTCCAGCCTCCCATCTCCCTCATTCAGAGCCTCCTGCTACCTCTTCATCAGTGGCAGTCATAGCAATGGGGCATTGAACAAATGCGTGTATCATGGGATGACTATGGGATGCATATTGAGAAAAGAGCATATGTTGGAATGCAATGGCTAAGTATAGGGGCACAAAGTGAGGCCCTACAAGTTTGTCTGTGATCTGATGATCTGCTTACAATAAACTCAGTTTCAGAACTAGTTGCTTGGAAATTATTTAAATTGAAAGCTAAAATTTTATTTGTCTTTTTTTAAAAATCATTTGGGACCTTCTAAAATCTTCAATGTTTTCATCATTCAGAGTCGAGAATGCATCCTGTTAAATTCGAAGTGGAAGTGTCTGGGAGCACCTCAACACTAATCATGTAGCACGTCCTGCAAAGAGCAAAAGTACAATTTTAAGTCTCTGAAGAGACTTGTGTCAATTCTGTTAACCCCCATCTGACAGGTAACCTCTACCTGTAACCAGTACACTAAAACACTGAGTGGCGAGGCTACTCTTAATCCTAATCCTAACATCAGAAATTACCTCTTGCTAATCCTACTGTTAATTCAAATCCAACCTCAAAACTCCTGTTGAATCAGCAGCCAATTCTTATAATCTGATACTAGGTCCATGTGGCCAGGTTGATAAAGGTCTCTATTATAGGGTTGGTGGAGGTGGGGGTGGTGGGCATTTAGGAGGAGGAGGTTAAGTCGCTAGGAAGGGAAAATTTGTATTTCTAAATGAATGACATATTTGTTTCCTAAGAGAGTCGACCAACACTGTGAGCAAATTGCTCTTTAGAGTAGTAGCCATCCTGGTTTCCATAGCATTTCTAGCTCACAGATTATTCAATCTAACTCAGTGGTGCTCTGTGCTGTAAAAAAGTTTCCTCTTGCCCTACTTTATTTAAGCCTGTCAGCAAAACCCTTCTATTTCCTCCACATGTACTTTTCTGACTTTTACTTGAATACACCAATCTTCCTCACCTCTATATTCAACATAAGGAAAGTTAGACCCTATTGATTGATGTGTGCGTGCTATCTCTGTCCGTTAACAGGCATCATTGCAAAGAGGTCTAGACATCTCTCAGTCATCTTTGTCCAGGTTACAGCTGACAGATTACAAAAGTAATTGGATCTCTTGCAAATCTGTACATTCGCAGTGCAGGGAAATTGTTATGTTAATATTCTTTGTCACTCCTGATTAACCTGCATGTATTTCAACCATGAATATTCCCCCATGTAAAGCCTCTCAGAGCCCTGAATGATTCCAGAGAGGAATCCTTCCTTGCATGTATCGTCACAGTTAGAGTTCTGCATTAATTCAGCAAACACTGGGCTGTTTAGCATCAGTAATTTATTTTCCAGTTTCACGGGCTGGCCTCGTGTGTGATTTATTTACGAATGTGCTTCATATTGCTTCTTTCACCACACCATACAATGAGCTTCTTGACGCAGTCCCTGTATTTTGGAAGGTTGTTTAGCAATCAACATTTCAGCACCGTGGACAAGGACACAGGTTCATGCCGCTGTCCGTGGTGCTGACACCGCCCCATCTGCAGTAAAACTCTGCAAAATTGAACTCAGTCTCGCACATTGAATTCGCGCAACAGTTCTTAAAAGCGCCGCGACGTCTCAGTTTGAACCACAACATACAGTCATGTCCATAAGTCTACAGAAAACATGATACCGAAGTGAATAGATATCAATCTCAGGTCAGTCAGAGCGCTGTGACCTCTAAGTGAGAAGGATGCGGTTTCAAGACCCACTTGATTTGAATACGTACTTCAGGCTGGCATTTTCAGACTAGCACTGGGAGAATGGTGCGAGGTGGGAGACACTTTCTTTGGAATTAATTGATCAACCGAAGGCCTCTTCCACCTCTCAACTGGGTCTAAAAACAGGTGGTTAATGGGAATTCTCAGCTGTGTCTTAACCAATAGATATCAAACAGCTAAACAAACAGATTGTTTTGTTACTTGTTGTGCTCCAGTTCCTACATTTATAGTGTCTTCATATCAAAGGGGCGCTATTTCTGTAAAACCTTGAGCCATCTCGAGCAAAAGTACGTATATGTGGCAAGTTTTTCTTTAAATTTGGAGGGGGGGCAGTTGCTGGGGAAGGACAAATTATTGAAATTGATTTTTGATGAAATAATTCCTTGATTGTTAAACTCTTCCATAGACTGTTGCTGAGTCCTTATTTTTCTCTTTATTTGGACAGCATTGGGCGAGTCAACTGAAATAACACTGTGAGATGAATGATAACAAATGAATGTATTTGAGAGAACCGCCGAGTTGTGATATCCGTGGTCAAGATAGTTGTGTTTCTGTTGTGTCTATCTTTTACTGTCTCTCTCCCTGCAATCCCCTCACTCTCGTTAAATAAAGTCAATGTTTTAATGAAATAACCTAACTGTCAAAGTGGGTAAACAATAATTCTGAAGTACCGCGGGCGTTCGCATTAAATTAGTGGCGTGGAAAACTTTCAAATGATCTTCCGCAAGCCTGCATCTGAGATAAATGACGTTTAATTATAATTCAGTATTGCTATTGGGGATAAAGCAATTCAGGGTTTTTTTTGAACGATGACAAAGGTAACACACAGACAAGAACATACTTGGTTTTGAAGAAGTCTCCTTTTCGGGATTAAGTTTAGTGTAGCTGGCGGTGACTTCTATTAATTGTCTGGTTTATGCGAATGCAGGGTGCTTTACATTGCTGACAGGATGGGCAGGATAGACTGTAAATATTCCCGATTTATAGCCCAAGACAGAGAGAACAGACAGACAGAGATGTAGTGGCCAGTGTTTTGTTTGAAATTTCTTTGTTTGAGATTTCTTCTGTGGGAGATGTGGAATGGTTAATTCACGTATAAGGGGATTGAAAATTAACTTTGCTGCTTCAAGGGTCATGGGATTCAGCCGTATTCCTGATTTAGCCCATTTTTGCAGAAAAAAAAGAGGTTTGCAGAATGTGGGGAATTCAGACAGCGTGAGAGACAAATGCAGAGAAATTCACGGGAGACATTGTACGTGAACCTGGGGAGGGCGGTTGAAGTTGAAGTGATGGTGAGAAATACTGAATCCGAAATTACAGCTGCAGAAAATATCAGCGTCAGGGGTGTGCACGGATATGTAAGATCCACGTGAAAACTATAGAGAGCGAGAAATGTGACGGCTCCCAAGGTGGGCGGGTGGCTTGCGGTAGGAGTTGGGGAGGGGGCGCAAGACTGTAGGCACATAGCTACTGGAAGGATGGCGAGAGGTGAGGGAGAAGACTACTCCAGAATGGCGCTGAGGAAGTCCCAGGGAAAGAAAACAAAACAGACTTTGAGAAACTCGAGGAAAGGACTTGGAGCTTCAGTACAAGATCGCAAGCGCGAGTTTAAAGGGCATTTTGTTCTAGATAAAGGCACCGCCGTAGAACCCACCGGCCCTGCCAATAGGTGGCATCATAGCCATTCACCAGCCCCAGCCCCTTTACCAACCTGCTGAAACTCTGCACCTGGTTCAGGCGGATCGAAATGTATTAAACAGAAACATGAGATGAGATTGTTTCAACAAAACAGTGGGAGGGAGGAGTAACGCACTCATCACAGCATGGGGGCGTCTGAAAATGATTTGACAGTGACAAAAACGGACAATTTCACTCTAAAACTGATTGCTGAGAAATTAGGATGGAGTGGGCTCTCAAAACGGTGTCCTTGTGTTCAAAGGTAGCGAGGCCTCAGCTCCCGGGAGAATTCAGATACTCTCTCTGTTTAAAGAGGAGAACACAAACGAGGCGCTAAGCTCCCCACTTGTAAGTTCCTTTCCCGCTTGAACCCTGCCAGAACAATCTAGAATTAATTTTAATTGAGATGGGTTTTTCAGAGCCCCTATCGTTAACCCGCCGGAACTTACTGTGCAAAGCAACAGTTTTATATGTAAAGTCATAAGACATAAGGGCAGAAGTGGCCAGTCAGCCCACAGAGCCTGACCCCATCGTTGAGATCATGGCTAATCTGAAAATCCGCAACCGCATGTATCATATGACATCCCATAAGTGGCTCCTGTCACTATATATACACAAATTA